TCGGAATTTTAAAGCAACCTATTGGAAACGGTTGCCTCATAGCAGCAATTGCAATAAGAACGACACAGCCTTGTATTCCCTCGGGATCCATTTTGATGTTGTAGAGATAAATACACACGCGTGTGTGAACCGGATTCTCGAAAAGAGGAACGATAACACAGAGTGGTTTTGGGTGTTCTCCTTCAATTATAAAGTTATCAACGATTAATGATTAACACATAATCCTCTACTTCAAAATCATATTTCAAAAATTACGTTTAATATCGCAGGCTGGAGAGTTTTACCTTGAACTTTTTTGTCAAAGATCAACCTGCCAGCCAACGTAAAGTTGACGTTAAATGTCTCTTCAGCGATTTGAATTCCAGTCCAATGCAAACTACAAGTCGTAAACAATACAATTAACTTCATAATGTGAATTCCAAACACCTTAGCTGAAACTATTTTTTTCAACGATACCAAATTTTGAGGTCTGTGATCTTGACACAAGATTTTTACACCAGTTGCAATTGTTTTGCTCACAGGGAAAACCAAAACCTTCATTTCCAAAGTCGTCCTCCATAGCACTACCTTCAAAAGGATCATCCAAAAATAATTCTTCACTTTATAAGCAGACATGTTACAAATAAATACATAAATGACATACTTGATCAAATTTCTTGAAACTGTTTTGATAAGCTTAGGGCACTTCACCGCCGAAATATTGCATAATCCTACATTTAAATTAAATACTTTAGCACTTACTAAATGTTTTCTCGTTAAAACAACAAACAACAGCAAGGCAAATCAGGATAAACTTCATAGTAAAATGTCTGCCCAACCCAGTTCGATAATTTTCCTACGAAAAAAGTGTCTTTTGAAGCAAAAACATTACTATTTATTAAAAAGATACTTGAAATGGAAATAAGGAAACCATGCAAATGCTTGGAAATTCCATATTATTTAGGAAATCCTAAAGATGAAATTAACAAACAAGAGAGCATCATAAGAGAAATTCGAGAGAAGAATAGTTCAAAACATATACTGTCTACATCTTTTGCATGCTAATATCGTTTAATTATATATAAAATGATTTGGAATTATATATTCAAATTCAATAATGGTTGAAGAATCGATTAACCTGAACTGATAGGGCATTATTATAACTCTATAGAGTAATAATTAAGACCTAATTAGTTCGCATTTAAACTATAAAGAAACCTTATGATAAAAAAGAAAGCGATTGAATTAAACATAGCCCCTTTGTTTTTGCATTATTGTTTTTTTTTAATAAATAAGTGATGTTTACTTGAAAAACAAACTATATCTAAATTTAGCCAAAGCTTTCCTGCTAATATTTTAAAACTATATCTTAGTTATTAAACAAGTCATCTTCTATGATAAGCATTTAAACTTATCTAAATGCATGACCATTATAAACACAATTACGACAGAGCGATGCATGCATGGGACGGCTTAACTGCCTTCATTATCTCGTACCTCGTCAACGGACTTATCTTCTCTTTTGGTAGCGGCCCTAGCAACCCCTCGAAACCATGTGGAAATCTGCAGTCTGTACTTCCTGTTACAAACATATCGGTATGCTCACTGTCTCAGTCATGTGAATACGTGCACATATACTCTGTAACTTATCCTCTCTAACCAAACTAATCTCACCCAAATATGGTGATTGTAGACGTCCAGCGTTCATGTCCATTATGGCTTCGTATTTGGCCAAGAGATCAAGTCCGAGAAACAACAACAGTTGTTAAAAGTTCCATCCCATTAATGCATAAGCTGGCATCTATTTTGCCTCTCAGAGTAAATCTCCATCGACATCGTCACATAGGCGTAGTCACGGGGGGGGGGCAGCGGGGGCACTAGCCCCCCCCCCCACTTTCAGATATGGGGGGGGCAAGAGTATGTCTTTGCCCCCCCCACTTAATGTAGAACAAAATCACAGCTATGTTGAGATTATAGTAAAACTCATTGTGTCATTGTGCCCCCTCAATAATAACGTCTGATGACCTTTTTTTTTTTTTGCTTGTCAAGGAATTTTGGTAATTGATAGTGCCCCCCAACTGAAAATATATGGCAAAGTGAAATTGCTTCCATTTCTTTATATTACACGTTTTAGATCTTTCTTGGATTTGAGCCCCCCACTTTTAAGTTTGTGACTACGCCTCTGCGTCAATAGTTAATGTAGCATGTAAAGCTCCTAAATCTCTATTTCAAAGTAGGAAATCAAAAAATTTCATTTGATACCAAACTCCAACTAGACCCAGTATTAACAAAAAGTCTAACAACTAAAACAACTAAACTATTTGTCGAACGTAAACCCTCCTTATTTATGTAGTGATATTCCCCTTTTACCTTCATATGATGTTTAATTCTCCCACCTTATTCGATGCTCATATGCATTCGAATTTCGAGTATGATCAATTTTTAAAGCGAGACAGACTCACGGCCAGGAACACGTTAATTTCCTTTACAGTACCGTTGTCAGAGACCTTTAAAGTTAAGCACTAAAACTGGTTAGTTGTCATTCCCACACAGGTGAGATTAGGATGAGTCCGTCCGGTGTCATAACTTCAGAGAACAAATAATTAGTTTTATTTCATTTTCCAAGTAAGTTAATTGATTACAATTTCTCAAATTGCTATGGGGAACAGAACTGACAATATATTTGTAGGTGCATCAATGACGTCAGATATCAACAGGATATATAATTACAGTAGTTTGCGTTGGCGATACACCACCCTGCTTAAAACATATTTTGATTTGTTTAAATTTTCTTTGAAATGAACATATTTTTCTTTTATACAATAAACAGTACCCAACACTAGGTACAGGTAAAATTATGAGGCACTGTTAGGGTCTGAAATCAAAATCAAAGCAAAGTAAAACTGAAATTTTTTGCTGTAATTCAAATTATGTCCGTTGTCATGACAAGTTACAAAAATTAAGTCCGTTGTCATCGGTCCGTTGTCAGAATTGTACTGTATATAACATTGGTAAACTATACTGTTTAATGGATTCTATTAATTTATCAATAATACCATCAAAATAGACGGAAAAATGTTGCAAGGGAAAACCGGCCATATCATTTAGCCGAACGAATATGTAATTCGTCCGAACAAATAAATTATTTTATCTGACCTTCCAACGGCGCCGTAGGTTTCGAACAAGTGCTGTAAATAGAAAATTTAAAAGCATGATTTGTCGATAACATTGCACTGATTCTTCTATAATTGTAAGAAAACCTTGATAATTTAGTTTAGTTTAATTTAAATTAAAATCTCATTATAAAGCAAAAATAATTGAAATATCAATGGGTGGACGATTGAATGACAAAGGAATTTAAGATTTACCGAGCTTCAAATTAAGATAGACTTGAAGCACATGCAGTGGTTAGGGCATTTCACTCTAGTGTGGAGGAGCAAGAGAATTGATCCTTACGTCACTGGTTCGAACCTTAAGGCCAGACGATACGTTCCTCAAAAATCTGTTTTGTATATCTTCGTATTGTATGGAAAATATTAAAAATTTTAAATACTTTCTGATTTCTAAACTGGTTTCTAATTGTCTTTAAAAAATTGAAACACGAAAAAATGTGATATTGGCAAATTAAGTTTTTTTCCAAAAGGATTTTATAGGAAACAACACCCTCCGGTATAGTGCACAAATGCCTGGTAAGGTACCTCAATTTTTTGCGAGTAAGCATATTAAAGTAGCAATACTTCAATGACAAAATCTTAGAAAAAATTATATATTATTGAGGAACGTATCGTCTGTCCTTAACGCGGAAGTCAAGACCGGTATAAGTCCCTTGTCATAGTAGACATATGTTGGTACCAAATAAATCTTTTTCTGCTCTATGTACACAAGTGCCGAGTACAGATCTAAAGCATCCCTCAATAGGCAGTCAGTAGTGTTCAAGGGAAATGAAGTAAGCAAACAGCCAACCAACATACTTTGGCATTGTGTATAGCTGACAATATTTCACTTTATAACTAATAAAATTATCTTCACATTTAACGAATAGTAAAATAAAACGCATACTATTCAGTATGTCTATCATGATTTTTTTGGGCACTGCTGATATTTTAGTAAGTGTATACTGTACACATGGTATGTGTTCGCCAATCAAAACTACTCGGAATATATTTTGGACAACAGAGACATGAATGTTTGTCGTGAATACTGAATGCTGTATCTGTTCCCCAATATTTAAGTTTATTCCTGGAATTGAACAAAAACATGAATTTTTATGCATTCAGTAAAAATTCTTGTATGTTTTGAATGACACCGGACGAGCATTATCTTAACCTCACCTGTGAGGTCATGACAACGAACCAGTTTTAGTACTTAGCTTTAAAGGTCTCTGACAACGGTACTGTAAAGGAACTTAACGTGTTCCTGCCCGTGAAACTACGGACCAATAAGCTGATGTCACAGGGATTTTAACCGCCACGTTTAAAGTCAGCATTACGAAAATTCTATTTTATTTTCGATCTTGTTTGCAATTACAACCTATCAATGGGTCGTATTTTGATTGACATTTCATACCAGTTTTTATACTTTTGACTACGGATTATTCCGTTTACCTGATCGACACACACCCACGCACACATATATACATAGACTATATCTATCTATCTATCTATCTATCTATCTATCTATCTATCTATCTATCTATCTATCTATCTATATCTATATCTATATATATATTCGTCTAATGGCGATAATGACCGTTCAACAGATGATATATACTTCTCCTAGGCACCCGATTCCACTTCTTGAATGTCCAGGGGTCCATGGACGTGTTTCCTGCCCTGTTCACAAAGTATTGCTTGTAGCTGTTTTGAGATCTATTACTGTTCGTTATCTTTGCGTTTAACATTTCACTCTTTTTTGAATTGATAATTTCTTTAAAGATTAATATTATTTTTCATTTCCCATTTTTTACATGTTGTTTAAATTATATTTTTTTCATTCTAAAGATTTATTTTTCTCTTCCCATTTTTACATATTTTTTTTACTTTAGTAAATCTTCCATCCGTTGAACGACGACCTCCAATTGGAATCACTCTTGAGAGTTCCGCTGTGAGGCTGAGTAGGATGGATGCGGACAAACACCACGTCACCTTGATTTACCTCTACCACCACAACTCCTGTTGTAGTTCTAATAGATGTTGCACCCTCGCCTGATGTACGCATGGCCGAAACATCATTAGCGTTGACAAGAACCTGTGAAAACATATAGCCATCCCATTTACAGTAAAGGTTCCATGTAAACACATACACACCATGCTGTGGAGCCGTGAATATTCCGGAATGTGGATTATAATGGTTGCCTATGTTTGTCACTATTACGTCAAATATAATCGTGTGGTCTTGCGATATTTCTTTCTCGCCTGAAGATATATATGCAGAGAATGCTACACCGGTTGGAAATGGAGGGTTTGTTGTCTGGACACCTAAAAGATATTGTAAAAACAAAGAATGGCGATCAAATGCAGTATCCAAAGCATGAATTAGACTTTTAGACTATAAATTGCATTTTTACAGAAGAAGCCTTACATGTGTACTACATTGTAATTTGGTTTGGATCCTTTTTAATATGAGTGAATCTGACCTTTTACGCTTAATGAACAAATATCACTGAAGTCTGTCATATAACCTAAACCTAAAGGGTCACAAAGTATTAGGGTAATGGGAAAACCTAAGAGGGTGGGTATGTTAGGCAACTCCTACACATGTCATAACCACCTTTAACCAACACTAAAATTTGCATACAAACTTCTTATAAATATAAAAATTGATTATCAGATTATGAACTTGGTTAAAGGTGGTTATGACATGTAAATAGAAACTTCATTTTTGCGATATTTTCAGGAAAAGCTAATTACTCTCAGTGAAGGCTATCAGCTTATGTAGATTATTTCATGTAATAAATTTTCAGTTTGAGTTCATGTTTCTGTTAACTTAACAAGAATTAATATAAGCCATGCATTTTTTCTCGAAAAATGTCGACTTTTTACTAAAAAAATCTAAAATCAAAGGACTGGAAAAACTGGATGTTATGAAATTACAAATGATTGATTGATTGATTGTATGTTGTCTAACGTCCCATTCGAGAATTTTTCACTCATATAGAGACGTCACCATATACCGGTGTAGGGCTTCAAATTTTGACCTTTACTCGGCACTCAGGGCCATTGAGCAGTGAGGGATCTTTATCGTGCCAACGCCTGCCGTGACACGGGACCTCGGTTTTTAAGGTCTCATCCGAAGGACCCGCAACTTTCACTTCAAAGTGCCAAGCGCATGGCGAAGGAACAGTTGCTACCCATTTTTTATCGACTTCGGTCAGTCGCGGCCGAGATTTGAACTCACGAGCTCCCGATCACGAGCGCTCTACCGACTGAGCTAACGTGAACGGTAAATTACAAATAAAGACGTCTCATTGCACTGTCCGCTAGAAATTATGGCATGTAAACGTTGCAGTATTCGATCTTCTCCATTTGAATTGTATAATTTTCCATTTGTATTCTATAATTTTTCATTTGTATAGTAATTTTTTTATTTGTTTTCTATAATTCTCCATTTGCATTGTTTTATTTTATATTTGCATTGTATAATTTTTATTTGTATTCTATAATTTTCCGTTTGTATTGTATAGTTTTCCATTTGTATTTTATATTTTTATTTGTATTGTATAATTTTTATTTATATTCCAAAAAATTTTCCATTTGTATTGTATAATTTTAAATTTGTATTGTAAAATTATACAATACAAATGAAAATTTATAGAATACAAATGAAAAAATATACAATACAAATGAAAAAAAAAATAGAGAATTCAAATAAAATTATACAATAGAGATGAAAAATTATACATTACAAATAAAAAATAAATAATACAAATGAAAAATTATAGAATACAATTGAAAAATTATAGAATGCAAATGGAAAATTATTCAATACAAATGGAAAAGATCAAATATTGTAACGTCTGACGTGCCATAAGAAATAAAATAAAAAATTAATATTATTAGGTTTGACTATGTTATTTATAATTTTTCTTTATTATTAAAGTTTAGTGTGTCTATGCTGTTTTTTTTTTGTATTTATTCAAAGTACCGCATATCTGTTAGTACTAAAAATTATAAGCTGTCTATTTTGTAGAGGGAAAATACATTTTCTATTTGTGTTATTAACTTATTTTTCCATAGGTACACACGTAGTAACTTTTATAGATAGGGAATTCTCGCCTCGACCTTCAAAAGAACCCTCAAATTTCTCCGTATGAGTGACGTAAGATCTAAGTCTTTTCTGCCACCTAGGTATTGAGAGGACTCAATATATTCGTATTTCAGGATGCAACACACATCTTTGGTACGATAATTAGCTACAAAAACAGCGATTCTGTCTTAGAAAATTAAATGCCAAGGGAGAGAAGGGTTCCTAAAGGTCACATGTGATTTTTTATGCCATTTTAGAATTTTTTACCCAGATAGAGAGATCCGCTTTACGTGAAGTGTCACAATTTTGATTTTTGCATGGCGTTTCATTATTGACCAACGTCTAACGTGGGACAGGACCTCTTTTTTTAAGGTAATATCCAACAGATCCTAGACTTTAAATTTACTTTTAATGCTTAGGATTTTGCAGAGGATGAGTCAATAACCGGGTTAAACACCTTAGTTTTTTACGCGGCACCGGGAACAAGAATTGAACCCTCGTGTCTCAAAAGTTCGAAGCGAGCGTCAAACCCTAAGGGCCCATTTTGTACCTGGGATATTGTAGAAGTCTGTTAGTCCATGGATATATAAAACTTTTGATATGTGTAGTGGAAGGAGCTGTTAAAAAACTATCCCCGTTTTTCTGGAGTGCAGGTAAAAAAAGGGGGGGTGCAAGAACTTGAGTTTTTATACATATATTTGTGTATTATAGCTTAGAGAGCATTTTAATTAAATATATTGTTTTACAAGCGTAATTTACGGAAGCGTATTAGTGCCACGTAATATTTTTTTTGAGTTAGTAATTCCAACTTTAAAGTTGGTAATTCCAACTTTAATCTTGCAATTTCCAACTTAAAAGTTGGCTTTTCCAACTTTAAAGTTCCTCCAACTTAAAAGTTGAAAATTCCTCCAACTTAAAAGTTGGAAATTCCAACTTAAATCTTGGCTTTTCCAACTTTAAAGTTGGACATTCCAACTTTAATGTTGGACATTCCAACTTTAAAGTTGTCAATTCCAACTTTAAAGTTGGTAATTCCAACTTTAATCTTGGCTTTTCCAACTTTAAAGTTGGAAATTCCAACTAAAAAGTTGGTAATTCCAACTTTAAAGTTTGAAAAGAAAACTTTAATGTTGGAATTACCAACTTTAAAGTTGGAATTACCAACTAAAAAAAATATTAAGTGGCACTAATACGCTTCCGTAGTAATTAAATAAAATCAAAGCAATTCTTACGATGTTATTTCATTTTATATTTTTAATACAACTAGTCTTATATACTGACTGCTCAAACGATTAGTTAATATTACATTAATATTTTCATCCTGTTCGTTAATGGATTCTTTATTTTTTGTAAATTTAGAATTTATTTTGTTAAATTCATCACTTAATATTTATTCAAACACAAACAGATTCCCTTGAGTGTTTTTCAACATTTGATACACAACTTTGATAGTTCAATGGATGCTTCGAAATCACATTAATATTTCTTATATGTGCGTTTAATGCGTAAAATAGGTAGCACATCTAAAAATACAATAGACAATTACAATATAGACTTATATAAAGTAATACTTTAAACTAAATGAAAATTAAGCATTTTTTAAGATCATATGATGTGAATTTTGTAGTGATTTACATTTAAAATATGCAAAAATGGGAACGCATCAAATTTCTCATCATTAAAAATTATCTTACTCTTTGGATGAAACAATCTTTGTATTTATTACTTAAGTTTGATATGTTTCTGATATAAATAAATAATTTTTGATTATTTACATTTAGAAACATGCTTGATGTAAATAGATCTATCAATATTTCTTTATTTGACAGCCATTTGTGATCTCTAAATCACGTGACTTCGGTGATTGATGTTGAAACAAAACCCCATTAAAAACATAAAATACAATGATTAAAGTTACATAAAATCACATTTTTAACTGATTTTATCGTAGGCCGGAAAATGACCTTATAGAGAATGATCCTTTAGACCTTTACTCGACACTCAAGGCAATTAAGCAATGAAGGTTCTTTATTGTCATTTATCAACCTGCTATGACACGGGGCCTCTCTGTTTTATGTTACATGTGAAAGACCCACAATTGTACCAAGTGCTAGGTTGCAACCTATTTCTTATCAACTTAAATTTGTTGCGACCAGAACGCAAACCCAAGACCTTTTAACTATAGAATGAGCACTCTACCGATCGATTTACCGTGCCGGACAGTCAAATGCAGCACTGTAGCATGCATCAAATAAAGCTTATCCAGCTTTTAAAGATACACAATATCTTTGAGCTTAAGTTGGACATTACTTGTGGTATCAGGACCTGATCGGTCTTTAATTTGATTATTGACATATAAACACTTTTTCCTGCATCGCTTCATCAACATTGTCGCAGAGGATTAATATTTATGACAGAAACTTTATGAGAATGTTCATGTGAGAATGTTAATGAATATTTAGAAGCCTTAGGAGTACAATTCTCACCTGTTAAAAGACGTTTCTCCACAGATACATTTTGGGTCTTGTTCATGAATGGATTTGTTTTCTGGGAGGATTTAAATTTGGTTGGTTGGTTTTTATTGTTAGTCATTGGAAAATTCCATCGTGCTTTCATAAATTGTTCGCCCTTTGTTGGTGAACTTTGCAAAATGTTTTCTTTCAAGGTAATGTCTTCCGTAGACTTCACATTTTTGCCAAAAAGTGTGTTCATATCTTTTTCCTTTTCAGATACTTTATAATCACGTTTATTTTCCATAGCTGTTAGTCGTGCACTTAGTCGCTGGTTTGTAGACTCTAGTTTTGAGACTCTGGTCATCACTTTGTCCATTTGAATGTTAAAGTAAAATATCATTTCCTGTAGTTGTAAAACTGTTCTCTTCAAGCCTTGGTTTTCTTTTCCAGGCTCCATTTCAAGAAAATGTTCTTTTCTGGTTCCTGTTTTGTCGTTTGTGTCGCTTTTGTCTTCAAGTCTCAACATCAGGGTGTCAATAATATTTTCAATGTGATCAAGTCTTTTCTCGCATGTTTTTGCCAACGACACTCTTACCAGAAAAAATAGGAACAACACCTTACAAATCATTCCGACTTTGTCTAAATCTGTTATCACAAGAAAGAAAGTGCTCTGTTTCTCTTGACGTAATGATAAGCAATGTGTAAGCCAAAGGTCTTTTCTCTCAGTCATGCATTGGAAAGAACAGCATGTGTGCGAAGTTTAACATATGCACTGTACATAATTCTTTCAGTTCATTTTGTGTGGTAACAGTTACTGTATATCATACAGTTTAAAAGTACAGTGTCATGAGCTCATACACATAATATGTCGAGATTCACACTAAAATGTAATAACGCATATTGTAATAATCATTATTTGGGGTATATGTTATAGTTACACTATAGATATTAATTGGTTAGCTGTAAATACACTCACAGTTTTTCATTCACGAGGGGCGGAGCCCCGAGTGAATAAAAACTGTGAGTGTATTTACAGCTAACCAATTAATATCTATTGTGTCAGTTACTTGTACCAGAGGACCAATGAGAGAAAAGCGAGTTGATAAATAGCACCGCCTACTACGAGGTGTCAAGACACGGTCCGGAGTCTGTATAAATAGCTGTCTCCATCTGCAAGGATCATACTTTACTGCGGCACTGCTACTACAAGTCGTTGATAAAAAAAATCGGAATTGGTACGTGTGAAGATATTGTACCTTTGAAATGTTGAAGACGCAGAAAACATGATTTTTTTCAGGTACAGGTATAGGGGTAGCGATTGTAGGCTTTTATGTTCAAGCCGTCAACTCTGAAAGAAAATTTATCTTTCTAGATCGTTTTTTTTTTGAAAAAAGGGGGGATGGATATGGGAAACATCGGCATTGAACTTTTTCTTTATGGCAATCGGCGTACAGAAAAAAATGATATGATTTGTGACATTTTAATGAAAGTTTGAAATGGTATTGGAAGTAAAAAAAAATGCGGGGACTTCTGATGTGAAATTGCTATATGTATTTGGAGACGAGAAATGAGAATTCGAGATAGGACGTATCATTTACTGATTAAGGATACGCGGAGAAAACATACAGAACCATTTATGAAGCGGACACCGACAAGCTAAATAATGTTAGTATTTTTGAAATTTAAAATGTTGACTTAATTCATTCATCAGCCATTGCCTTGGTCTTGAAATTGACATCATTCATTCATTAGTCAAGGTCTTGACACAGTATGGCTTGATGCCAAAAGGTGGGCGTGACATAAAAAAACTGTGATTCTTCTGGCAAATACACCACAGCAACATGAAAGCAAAATCTAAATTTACCGCCAGTCCTATTGTACAATTAATATATACAAGATTAGCCCTTTAATTCGGGTGCAACTATTTAGGTCTACCGAGTCAAATGGTTGTTCCCACTATGAATAATCAAATCTAGGATAGTTGCAAAACGCATTTAATGAAATGTCATTAAAAATTTGAAAATTCTTATAAAATATTCAGAAATATTAAATGATCGAAAGCTATATACTTTGGACAAATTTTTTAGTAGTCACTGCAGAATTTGTGAAAATATATCTACAGAAAATGAAGAAAATGATTGAAATTTGAAGGTTGTTCCTGCTAAAGTGTACAAGAAATCAGACAGCAGTAAAAAATTCAGTCAACCGTGACTTTGCCTCCAACCATATTTTCTACGTGCAGGCCTTTCAATCAATGGATTTTACATTTTTTCTTCAATTTATCTGTATTTTCGAGTAACTGATATCATGGATATGAAGGGAATCACTTCATTTTTATTTTTAAGGTGGTTAGATTGTATTAGATTTTTTAATTGACTTTAAATTGTTAACAACAGCTATTTCATTTTGGGACATCCAATAAAAAAATTCGAGAGCAAGAGAGCGGCTATTGTAAGTGAATACATAGGAATCCCTTATCTCAAGCATAAATACAATGTATAACTGTAAATGAATACATTTTCACATCGAATGTTTTTATTTATAGCTAGCTGCGCAAAGCGCCACTCGCACTTAGAGCTCTTATGGGCGAAGAGAAAATTCCGACTGTGCACATTGATCCAAACAAATTTTTTTCTGCAATAACCTTTGGAGCCATCTCGCTGCTAACTACGTTCTCGTGGTAACAAGAAAAAGTTCACCAAATAATAAACTGACCTTGATTCATTTGCACTTCTCAGACTTCGTTTTGGCAATGCAACTTGCACACGACGTCATGTGACATCTCAGTACAGACGTTCAAAATGTCTCGTGCGGTTTGAAGAGGCGGATCTAAGTTAAAACTGGATAGGTATCCAATAATAGGCATCTGCGCTCGCCCTAAAGGTTTCGCCGTCAACATATTAGATATTTGAGTGATAACACACAACAAAATCAATTATCTGCACCGATATTTACATCATCAAGCTATACTAAATTTCAAGCCCAAGTCTCAGAACATCATGCGAAACCTATCATGGCAGCTGAGGAAGACGATACACTCGGCACACCTCGGCCGATTCGTACCCCATCTAACCTCTGTTTACGAGGTCGAAAATTACCCTGTATACAGTTGCAGTCCTGGTGAAATATTATGCTAGACAGTAGATCATGGAACATTAATATGTTGACGGTGCGACCGTTAGGGTGAGCGCAGATACCTATATTAAGTTTTAATTTAGATCAGGCTCTTCAAACCGCACGAAACATTTAGTACGTCTAGACTTTGACGTCGCTTGTAAGTTGCATTACCACAACGGAGTATGAACATCGCTTATTTTAATAAAGAAGGTTTAACCTACTATTTATCTGCTATATATCCATTAAATCAACGTGAGTTTATATTTTTCTTGGAACTTCTTGTTGCCGCGAGAACGTTGTTTGCGGCGAGATGCAATTCGCAAAGCATTATAGGACCACATGTAACTGCGGAAAAAAATCATTTGGTTTGGATCAATGTGCAAAGTCCGAATTTTCTCTTCGCCCTGGCGTTGCTTTAAGAGCTTTGCGCTGCTCGCTGCGCTCGCTATAAATTTTCATTGTTAACAATAAAATTGACAATTTTTGATTGTTTTTTATCTACCAATGTAATATCAACCGCCTAAATTTTTCCCCCATTGCTAATCGTTACCGACTATACATCTAATACATTAAATGAGATGCAAGTGTTCATTATTTTGAGTGGTTGCCTATGCCAGCGCGAATCTAGAAGGGAGTTAGGACTCCCCCACTCCTAGGGTTATTTATTATTAAAATAATTTTTAAACTTATAAGGTAACCAAAATGCCCTGTTTGGACAAATTATTTTTTGTCCAAAAAAAAAAAAAAAAAAAAAAAAAAAAAAAAAAAAAACAAAACAAAACTGATGCCCCGTACGGCAACTTAGCTTATAGCAAAGTTTAAACATTCTCAAATGCAAATCAAATATGTTGGTGTCCAAAGTAAGGTCTTGTCTTGAAGAATATACCTGTGAAATATGAAAGCCCTAGCAGCAACCATTGAAAATATATGGAAAAGGTTAAAGTTTTTCAAAAGTGAGTCAAACATCAAGGTCATAGTCAAATGGCCAAAATTAATGGTGCCCAAGGAAAGGCCTTTTCAAGAAATACACATGTGAAATATGAAAGCCCTAGCACCAACTACTAGTATTCAAAAGTTATGGTCAAGGTTAAAGTTTTTCAAAAGTAGGTCTAACTCCAAGGTCAAAGTCAAAAGGTCGAAGTTGTTGGTATCCAAAGTAAGGTCTTGTCACAAGGATTACATATGTGAAGTATGAAAGCCTTAGCACCAACTGTTCAAAAGTAATGGCCAAGGTTGAATTTTTCCAAAAATAGGTCAAATTCCAAGGTCAAATGGTCAAAGTTCTTGATATCAAAAGGAAGGTCTTGTCACAAGGATTACATATGTGAAGTATGAAAGCTTTAGCACAAACCATTCAAAAGTTATGGCCAAGGTTAAAGTTTTTCAAAATTAGGTCAAACTCCAAGGTCATAGGGTCAAAGTTGTTGGCATCCTAAGGAAGATCTCGTCACAAGGATTACATATATGAAGTATGAAAGCCCTAGCACCAACTGTTCAAAAGTTATGGCCAATGTTAATGTTGGGTAAAATTTCGCAAAACTAGGTCAAACTCCAAGGTCAAAAGGTCAAATATGATGGCACCCAAAGAAAGGTCTTGTCGCAAGGAATACACGTATGAAATATGAAAGCCATAGCTCCAACCAATCAAAAGTTATGGGCAAAGATAAAGTTTTTGTGGACAAACAGACACACAGACAGACAGATAGACAGACAGATGGACGGACAGAGTAAAAACTATATGCCCCCGAATCTTCGATTACGGGGCATAAAAAAAAATTATAGAAGTATTTTATATACCACAACCCCTTCCATAATCAATAGTTTTGTTTTGGACAAACTGGTTATAATTTATTATTTAATTTTTATCACAGGTGCTTGAGGACAGGACACCCCCACCCCCCACCCCTCCATCGATATAGACCCTCGGGCCTTTTCGACTTTTCTCTCATAAATTATCTTTCATTGACATATTTGTGATATAATCTATACCAACAATTCGAAAAATTACCTAAAACAAACATTTTATAAAATCTACCCCACTCTATATATAAAAATCAACAAGGTTGCCAACTTCGTCAAAGCTTATTCAACGGAAGTAATGAGAAGAGGACTATTACCCATTTCCTCCATATAACAAAAAAGGAGTGCAAGGTATAAACACTGGACACATTCTTGTTTTTTTGTACGAATTTTTACTCAAATAAATATTTTTTCTAACATTTTCTAGATTTTATGCGAATTATCTAGAGAAAATAAGGTATTTAAATAAATTGCATTTTTAAAAGGGGCATAACTCTCAAAACGAAACCTGCAAATCAGGTAGTTGAAAAATAATTAGAAACATTTCATTTACATTAGTGGTTTAGAACTCTATGCTTCCAATACATTTAAAATA